GGATCCAGAATACCCTGGATGCTCAGAGTGAGGCGTCACCGCTCTGCCAAAGGGATGATGGCAGCTCTGTGGGGAGGCAAAAGTTAATCTAGGGCCAAAAGGACAAGGGCCTGCAGATGGAAGGGTGTGGCAAGAACAGCCAGGCCAAGGGGACAGTGCACGCAAAGGCTCCGAGGCACTAGTGCATTCGGTTCGGCCCAGCTGGAGCGCACCGCAGCCGGGGTCAGAGCCAGAAAGGCAGGATAGATGGTGAACAGCCTGGTGCCCCACCAAAGAGCTTGGATTTGTTCCTCTGGAAATACCGTGTCTGGCCCTTGTGCAATCTCGTCATTGCTTCAGAAGCTTTGTGAGAGATATGGGAAGACCTCTGCCTTCCCCAGGGAGCTGTGAGTCTTGTTTCTGGTTTGGTCCAGAGTCCTGGGAAGGAGCCTGGGGCTGGATGCTGGCTCCTGACCTCAAGGAATTTACAATCTAGGTGAGAGCAAGATTAAGTACTGAAACATTAGCAGCCATCCCCAGGGAGAAAAAATTAAAGGTCAGGCAGGGTGGCCCAGATAGTAAATGCGGTGAGAGGTGGTGAAGGGATGGGATTAGGGCTTCCACGGGCGGATTTATAAATCAGAAAAAGTAATCGCTTCCTGCTGCTAAACTGGGCATCGCATCTCCGCTGGCCTCTCCGTGAGCTTCTGTCCTTTTCCTTAGAGGATCTTCCAAGCACAGACTCACAGCTCCCTTCAGCCTGGAGGTTATTTTTTTCCCCCTTTGGCTGAGGCTTATTAATTTCCCCTTCTCCAAGCTGAATTTCACCTTCCTCGGCTAGACATGATCTGTTGCCTGACCCATTTAGGTCCACCCAGGGTTTCAGACCCTCCTGCTTTGGGGGTTTTCCTAAAACTACCCCAATTCCTTCACTTCATGCAGCCTGGAGGATAAAGATACTGTAATAAATGCCTGGGTGATGGAGATGTCAAATGTGAGGTTTTATGTTTAAAACGGTTCGAAGCTGGCAATTTACTCGGCATTCTTTTGAACGCATTTGTTTGTACCTGGTGGAGAATCCCTTCAGCAGTGTCGCCAGTGTCGCTGCTTCAGAGCAAAGCCGTGCCTTTGTGTGTCTGTGTCTATTACAAACACATTAACCACACGTGTGTCCCATCTTCTCCCTTACCCAGTGCAGCTCGGGTGATTGAAACACGACATTTTAAACTCAAAAGCAAATTACAGCAAAGAATTAGTGTGAAATTACCCTCTCCTTTCAGGGTTCCTTTTTAAAAGTCAGCAGCAGCGCCCAGGATGAAAGTTGGCCTGTCAAACAAGTCCATTCAAACTTGCAATTCTGCTGTCATTTGCCCGGAGGGCTTGAGATAAAGAGCAAGGTTTAAAAAAAAAAAAAAATCTGCCAAAAATAGTGCCACTGAGAAACCCACAGGGTGGCAAACTCAGGAGGCATCAGGGCCCACCACACTGCCCTCTGCAACAGGACGGCTGCCTCGTGGGCTTGTTCTGACAGAGCTTTCACCTTCTGGGGGGGTGACCTCAGATTTCAGCACCAAAGAGACTTGGAGAGGAAGGACTGCATAGAGCTACATCCGTGAATCCCCAAAGAAAGGAAAGGAAGAACAAAGTTTACTCTGAAAATCTGGGCTCTCTAAACAGCATGTTGAGACAGCCCCACAGCGGACAGGTTTGCTGCAGGCCTGGGACTGGCCCGGGGCTGCTGCAGCCTGGAGATTCATCTAGAGAGACTATAACAAGCCGCCTTCTCCCTGGTGCCCTCGTTACTCCCTGTTCATATTCTTTCTGGGCCTTTAATTCCCTGGGTGGTACCCTGGGGGCTGGAAGAGGTTGCCTCCTTGGAAGCTGGGGAACACTTTAGGCCCAGGAGCAAATCTGTGGACTGGTGAGCTGTGGACGAGGTCCTCGGAGCCCGGTAGCAGAGGCTGCGTGCATATTCCGCTCTTGGCTCTGATGCCAGCTCGCAGGGAGGTGGGCAGGCTGACTTCCTATCTCTGTGCCTCTGCTCTGGGGGGAGTCAAGTCGTCCCTAGGGCACCCCACCTGTGAGCAGAGTCTGAGGGGGATGTTCTAGGAAGGAGGCGGCCGTGCACACTCAGACTTTGCTGTCTCAGCTAACGTTTACTGTGCTCCTGGGGGCGAGGTGCCTCCTTGGACCGTCCTAACCACCCTGACAGGTAGGTATACTTAGCTCTAGTTTATAGGTGAGGCCATTAAGTCCCAGAAAGGTGAACTGACATGCCTCCAGCTAACAC